CCCCCCCCCGCTCCATCTCTCTTGGGGTCATGTGTTTGTGTGTGTGACTCACTTCTGAAGATGCAGATTTATGAGTGGTCAAGGACAGACTAACATAGAGTCTTACAGACTGATCAGCCTACTAAAGTCTTACGGGGCTCCGCAGCAGCGGTAAAAACGGGAATTCGCCACCCAAACGTGCACCCTGCCCAGCAGAGCTGACTGGAGTGTGGACGCAGGAAGCAGATGTAGGCTGCTGCCCGTCTACCGCCCCCCCCACCCCCCCCCACCCCCGCCCCATCATTGGAATGTTCAGGGAGAGGCGGCAGGAGGGCTGGACGCCTGCCTGGGTGCACGCATTCGCAACTGGTCCTGTTGGAAAGGAGATGATGGCTTATGGGGCCGGGGGGGGGCGGGGGACCCCAGAAGATCAAGACTTCCAAGGAGCTGGTGAAGAGCTGCAGACCAACCTGAGTGGGGCGCTGTCTGGTCTCAAAACATGCACGCTTCTCCCTGACCGGTAGAAGACTGGATTGTTTCAAGCCTTGACTCTACTTAGGAAGGGAGTGGAGTGGGGTCAGGGAGAGAGCTCAGCAGACAGGGGCACTTGCCACCAGACCACCTGAATCCCATGCCTGGGACTCACGTGGTGGAAGAACAGAACGGATTCCTGCAAACACACACACACACACACACACACACACACACACACACACACACACACACACCCCACACCCTGCCTGGAGGGGATGGCCTCCTATTGCAGCGGGATTACAGATCCCACCTGCCTTCACCTACCTTCACCTTCCCGGTGCTGTTGGTGGGTGGTGCTCTTGTGGAAGACTCCCCCACCCCTTTTTTTGTCTTCTGTGAAGTTCTGGGAAGGTGCCAATTTGCAAACCAGAGGGGGAGAAAAAAAAGGAAGGGTAAGCTAAGACACATTCCCGGCTTAATGGCCGGTTGCTGGAGTTATTTTTAACAAAGAGCTTGAATGAGGGGTTGTGCCTTAAAGAGAGGGGAATTTTTATCCTACCAGAAAAGAACAGTAATTAAAGACAGTCTTAACTGGGTGTCCTCAAGAGTTTGGGATTTTGGGGGGCTTTTGTTGTTGTTTGCGTGGGTGTTTTTTTTTTTCCTTTGGTTGGAGGTTCCTGCCGTCCTTCTGAGGATGTTTAGGCAGGTTGCTGCGACAGTTGCAGGGAGCAATTCCCGTGGAGTCCTCTCTAGAGCTGATGGAAATGAACAGAGGGAGCTTGGGGGTGGGGGCTTCAGCATGGTCTCCCCCAACTGCATCCATGAAGCATGGATCAGGGGTCATAGTACTGTCTTCCAACACTCTAAAGCACATACAGGTCAAGGTTGGGGTTCCTGGCTGAGGGGTCCTCTCTTTTTGTCATGGACTATAGATGGTATGGGCCCCCCCAGGATCTTGAGGGTATAGGTACCTGTCCAAGTTTGCTTTCTATTGCTGTGATAAACACCATGACCACAAAGCAACTTGGGGAGGAAAAGGGTTTATTTGGTGTATGAGTCTTAACCGGTGTTTATCATGAAGGAGCAGGGGTCGAAGCAGAGGCTACGCGGAGACATTGCTCAGGCTCATGTTCAGCTAACTCCCTTCTATTTCTCCGGACTACCTGCCAGGGGTGGCAGCACCCACAGTGCCTTGGCCCTCCTCCTCCATCAATCATTAATCAAGAAAATGTTCTACACACTTGCCTACAGACCAGTCTGATGGAGGCATTTTCTCAGTGGAGGTTCCCTCTTTCCAAATGACCCTGGTTCTGTCATTTGGTTGATAACAACAACAGCATCCACCAAACCCAAACTAAACCAAAACACTAACCATCGCAGCACACTACCAGACCTGTCCTGGAGGCTCCTGAACAGGTGCCTGGTGAGTTCTAGGGATAAAGGATGGGTACAGCACAGACATCCCCACTCCCAGCCCATATAATTTCAAGCCTGCCGAAAAGCTCTGGGAACTAAGGCTGCATCACTCTGAATGTGCTAGGTCCCGTCTACTACCCTGGATGCTCAGGCTGTGGAGGATAAAGGAGCTGAGAAAGTTCTGAATGAGGCCAGTGTTTGGTGCTGCCCTCTGCAGACAGATGGCCTGCCCAGGCTTGGTGTATGGATTGGCCAGACCGCAGGGGTATTTGCTATGCTGTATCTTAGGTCACTGCCACACCTTTCTTGGCTCCATCCCCGAGGCTGGCTGTTTTATTCCATGGTCCCCTCTAAGTGTGCCAGAAGCTGGGCCTTCTCTTGGAGTGCTATTTTGGGTCCCGGGAGCCCTTCTCCATGCAAAGTAGTACTTATCTACCTGGCCTCCTAGGACCCTGGGATTAATAGTATTCAGGAAGTAGATGCCAAAGGCTTGTGGATCATGTGACAGTTCTCCAGTCTAGTGCTCCCATGGAGCTGGAAGTTTCGTCTGCATGGCACACTCAGGCATGGGATCCAGATGCCAGCTAATCTTGCAGTAGCAACTGACCTCTCTGCTGGAACAGCTGTGGCCTCTTGACTCAGCAAGATGCTTCCAGGATGTGGGGATTTGTGGGCACCGTTGATAAACTGTAGGGCATCCCACAACATCTGTAGCCTCTATTGACTCAATGCCTGGAGCAGAATCTCCAGCTGTGACAACCAGATACATCTCCAGACGTTTGCCAGGAATGCCCTGGGAGATTCCCAGTTTAGAGTCCCATATGTCATCGCAGTAGGAACAGCTAGACTGTTGCTGTTGCTCTATAATATTCCATAGTGTGAGCATCCTATCCTTTATCTCCTGGGGTATGCGTGGGTTGTTTTCCACTTTAGATTATTAAGCACAGTCACTCTTCTGTTTCTTTTTTTTTTTTTTTTTTTTTTGGGTTTTTCGAGACAGGGTTTCTCTGTGTAGCTTTGCGCCTTTCCTGGGACTCACTTGGTAGCCCAGGCTGGCCTCGAACTCACAGAGATCCTCCTGGCTCTGCCTCCCGAGTGCTGGGATTAAAGGCGTGCGCCACCACCGCCCGGCCACTCTTCTGTTTCTTAAAGAATAACATTTAAAACCAATGGTTTACAGCTATTATTTTGCTATGATCTGTTGTGAATGAGAAAAGGTCTTTTTTTAAAAAAATTGCATTTATTTGTGTATTTATTTATATATGTATAGAGGCCAGAGGACAACTTGTGGGAGTCAGTTCTCTCCTCCCATCATGTGAGTTTGAACTTAAGTCAGCAGGTTTTAGGGCAAGCACCTTTACCTACAAAGCCATCTTGTTGGCCCCGTGAGAAAAAAAGTCTTGTAATATAAACAAAGCGTTTTCCTCTCTTGCTGTGGTGCTCTGTCTGGGACTGGTAGCTCCTCTCTGCAGAGTGTACTGTGAGATGGTTCTTAAAAAAAATCTATCTACAATGAATGTTGAACTCTGAGGGGCTTCCTCAGGACTCTGTAGAGACCAGGGCACATACACAGACTTGGGTAAATGAGGCGAGGCTAGCCATGCCGTCTTTTCCAGTTTTTGGTTCGATCTGTCTGAATATCCAAGCCAATTGCCGTAAATTCTCTGGTCATTTCCGTGGCTGCATCACAGTCCACACCCTGCCTCCCGCTGTTGTGTCTGG